CCAGGAGGGCGCTTCACCTTGAAGAGCCATTGGTCATTGACTACGTTCACCCCAGGTGAGGGAACTGCGTCAACGTAGGTGCCGGTGGATGTCTAAGATGCCATTTCCGCGTCCATGGCAGCTATCCAGTGGGAGGCCCAGAGTTCCGAGTTCGCCTCAGCGTAGGTGCGAGGGGTCGGGATGTCAAAGGTGTCTAGGTCACCCTAAGGGACTAGCAGCAGGAGCAGAGATGAGGCGCGGCCTCAGACACGAAAGCAAGCTTGTATTGCCTGTCCTCCAGGACGTCCGTGCCAAGGGCAGGAGCACCCCCGACGGACGGAGGACGGTCTGGGCCAGAGACCAAAGCTGTGGCGTAGTCAAGGCAGTGGGTAGAGGCAAAGTCAGCGACGGCAACGACAAGAGCGTCAAGACTGGAGACACGAACAGACGGGTTGGTAACAAGAGAGGCGAGAACGCGAGGAACAAGAGGACTAGCGGCACGGAGGAAGTTAGACAGGGGAAGCGGAGCGACAATCAGCAACGACGGGAGGAGGTGACGGGAGGAGGGGAGGACGAGACGCGTGGGAACGTAGCAACATAGGGTGAGAGCGCTGGACAGGAGAGATAGGACGAGCACGGGAGGGATGACGAGACCAGAAGTGGGACAAAGGCGTAGGGTCAGGAGACACAGGAGGAGATACGAGAGGTGAACGCGGGTGAAAACGAGCTGGAGACGAGTCCGGCGGAGGAAACACATGGCCGTAGATACGTGGGGAGGCGGGCGGTCAAGGGAGGGAAGATCAAGGAGGCGAAGGGCGGATGCCGGCAACGACTGCTGTTGCTGCTCCATACCGACTCCAGAACCTCCAGCTGCACCACGGCTACCTCCGGGACGCTCTATGACAGCACCCCCAGAACGAGAACCCTCTCCAGCACCGATGCCACCCCGAGGACCGCAGGGGCAAGCCACGATAGTACCCCCAAAACTAGCACCCTTAGAACAAGCACCCCCAGAATGAGAACCCTCTCCAACACCGGTGCCACCCCCAGGACTGCCAGGAGAAGCCACGACAGTACCCCCAGAACGAGCACCCTCCTCAACGCCCGCACCCTTCGAGCTCGCGGACCCCTGCGGTGGCTGCTACGGCGATGATGATGACTGCGGCTGCTGGTGCATCTGCAAAGGTGGCGTCTGTTGCTGCGGCAGCGGTGGTGACGGCGGCTGCTGTGGCGGTGGCAGAGGAGGAGGAGGAGGAGGAAGAGACACCAGGGCAGAGACAAGTGGCAAAGCTGAAGCCGCGGGGTCCCTGGAGTCAGCTGACTCCTCCACCAGAACAACCAATGGGAGGGAAGTGACGTGGGACACACCAGACAAGGCAGGATGGGGAGGAAGAGGAGCAGGGGCTATGTGGGGAGTGGGGACCAGGAACAGGGGCGGGGCAACCAGGAGATGCATCAAGGAAGACACAAGGGACGATGCGGGCAGCGAGCTTGTCCGTGCCGGAGGCACGAACATGAGCAAGGCATCCCCAGATGTAGAGCGGAGATTCGTCACCAGGGAACCTGGTCCAGAGAAGGGTCGGCAAAACCTGCGGCTGCTGGGAGTGCGGGAGACCAAAGACAAGGCTGTGATGGGACATGTGAGGATGATGCGGGAGTGGGGATGACATAGGCGGTGGTGCCATAACAACGACGGGTGGGTGAGCGACCGACGCGAGCAAGCTGCAGCAACCTGGAAGGACGCGGCGACCTGGGGGGACGCTCCCATCAAGGGGGACGCGATGTCTAGGGTGAACAGGCCAGACACGGGGTCATGAGGGGAACATGGTAAGAGGGGCACCAGTCGTGGCCTCGGTACAGACTGCGTACCGCTCGTGTCCAGGGAGCGTGGTGGTGAAGCCGATGTTTTGAAGACAGCCGACACCAACTAGGTTCTTGGAGAATGAGGGGATGTGCAGGCCTGTAAGAGAGCCTGAGGGAAACACCGGACAGGGAAGGGTACTGGAGCTACGGGCAACTATTGGACCTGAAGAGGGGTCAGCAAGCGCTATAATGGCAAGGGCAGCAAAGCGGCATGAGCGCAGTGTGGTCGCGAAAGAAGCAGGCGGACGCACCAGATTCTAGCTTGAACGAGAGCGCAGCGGTAGCAGCCGTTGGCAGAGGAGCGAGGGTGGAGCTGAGGCTAAACAAGGCAGGTGTTCCTACGCCTGAAGCTGCAGGGGAACCTACGCTACTCACAGGGGCCACACCTACACAAGGCAACACCGGGTAATAGGGTCCAGTCACACTAGAGTCATCAGCATACATGGCATACACAGCAGACCTAATCTGATTTATGTCAAGCTCAAAAACAGGGACACGATGATTCACCAGGCTGTACCTGTCATGAGGGTCCGACGTGGGGCCGAAGCGGAGACGGAGGAGGTCGTCAAGGCGACGGTAGCAGTGGGCGGCCGTGTGCTCGGGGCGGTCGCAGACGGTGCCGCGGTGGAGGCCGGACTCAAGCTGGTACTGGCAGGTGACCACACTGGAGCCGCCACCCGACACCGAGCTGCGCGCCCTACCACCACGACCACCACCACCAGTGCCACCAGGCCACCACGGCGGCGGGGGTCCCCATGGCGACTACTGCTGCTGCTGCTGCTGAGCTATTGTTGCTGCTGCTGCTCCGAGGCACCAACCTCAGTCCCCTCGTCTGCACCACCGTCCCCGCTCCCACCTCCACCACCCCCACCACCCCCACCACCCTTCCCTCCTCCTTGCCCGCCCTTGGGGCGGTGGCCCTTACCCTAACACTGCTGCGCTGAGGCCGCGGCGGCGGTCTCAGCAGCAGGGGCTGTCTTAGCGACAGCGGCAGAAACGTCAGCGTAAGTACATTGGGAGGGAGCACAACCCTGGAAGATAGGGACCGCCACAGTACCGCTAGACTGAGCGATAGTGCGCTGGCGGGTCTCTATCGCGGACAGGGCTGTGACAAAGGCAGTAAGGAGGAGGTCACTTGGGTGCTAACTAGAGGATGTGGTCGTGCGCAGTGGCTAGGCGGTAAGGAAGGTGCGTGGCTATGAGGTAAAGGGTAGCGCAAATCGGCAGCGGGAATGCAGTGAGCTGTGCCTCAGTACTAGCAGCGCGGTAGCTTTTTCAAGTGCGTCTAGGTGAATGGAAGGTCAGCGATAGTGGGGAAGGACGCAAGGTCAGGGAACAACATGGGGAGGATCAAACGGCCGGCAGAGGCTGAGGAGGGAGTGGAATAGCGCGCGACGACAGCATCTAAGTATTCCTTGTCGTTTGCTACAGCGGTAAAGCGGGGATGCTCAGACAGGGGGAGGGCGTGACTAATGACAAGCTGTGCAACGACGTCCTAGACAACGCAGGCAAGCTCAGCAGCAACAAAAGCCTCACACTCAGCAAACGTGGGGGCGTCAGTGAGGGCAGCAGGCATAGTGGGGCGAGGGAGCTTACCGTCGACATGGACGGCCAGGGAGTGGTCGTCCTGGTGCTGACCAGTCAGCTGGTGGCGGAGGTCGACGAGCCACACCTCAAAATCGACAGCCCGATCCTCCACGTCTAGGGGGGGCCGAGAGTCCGCTATCACCACGGCTGTAGCAGCTGACTGCTGCGGACAAGGAGAGGAGGAAGTGCGGAGGAGGGCGGTGGAGAGCAGGGAGGGGGGGCAGTGGAGTGCGGTGGAGAGCGGTGGAGAGTGGTGGAGTGCTGTGGAGTGCTGTGGAGTGCGGTGGAGAGTGGTAGAGTGCGGTGGAGAGCGGTGGAGCCTGCCGGCGGGAGCGCTGGCTCAGAGGAGGAGCCAAGGCCGGTGGGTCAGCGCGGCTCGGCGGGAGGAAGGGCCGGGGCAGGCTAGGACCGACGGAGCTGCGGCCGGCGAGAGAGCAGCAGGCGCAGGGCCCGCATGCGTGGGGCTGGCGGGTGCGGGGCCAGCAGGCGGGGGGCTGACGGGCGCGGGGCTGACGGGCGCAGGGTCAGCAGGCGCGGGACCAGATGGCGCGGGGGCCAGCGGGACACCGGGCCGACGGCGAGGGGCTGGCGAATGCGAGACCAGCGGGCGCGGGGCTGGTGCAATCGGGGCCAGCGGGCGAGGGGCTGGCAAAAGCGGGGCCAGCGGGCGCGGGGCGGGCGAAATCGGGGCCAGCGAGACACGGGGCCGGCAGCGAGGGGCTGGCGAATGCGGGGCTGGCGAAATCGGGGTCAGCGGGCACGGGGCTGGTGAAAGAGGGGCCAGCGGGCGCGGGGCGGGCAAAATTGGGGCCAGCGGCGCGGTGCAGGCGGGTGCGGGGCCAGCAGGCACGGGGCCAGCGAGCGCAGGGCTGGCGGGCACAGGGCAGGTGTGCGCAGGGCCAGCAGACGCGGGGCCAGTGAGCTCTAGGCCAGCGGGCGCGGGGTTGACGATCGCGGGGCCAGCGGGCGCGGGCTACGGGCGGTTAGCGACGGGCGGCTCGAAACGGGGTGCTCGAAACGGGCAGCTAGAGACGGGCAGCTAAGTACATGACTAAAGTGGAAGCGCGGGTGGGCATGGAGGACCTAACCTAGCGCGTGATACCATCTCAGAGTAGAATTGTTTGATAGAATGTGAGATAAATGATGGTTTTGTCTAAGGGGTTGTACTCTCTAAGAGTACGCACTTATCTAGCCTGTAGTAACAGATACATATATGTTTGATAGCGCGTCCTTCCATATGAGGTATCGCGCTTCTAGTGCAGTCGAGGTGTAATACCGGGAATGCATTAGTAGTAACTCTACCGAGTATACTTCAACAGTGCTTTCAAATCGGTGTTCCGTTTATTGCAGTGAGAAGGGTTCTCGTTGCTAAATATATCCTGGAATACATTAGGTAAAGGTGCAATGCAAACAAAAGAAATAGCCAACTTTTCTGCAAAGCTGAACTTTCGACTCGATATAGACACTGCTGGTCGCCATTCCCAAGACCAGCCAAGCCAACCCAACCACCGCCCGGCCCATCGGTCTTCCCCCCCAGTCCACTCATTTCTGCTCGCTCACTCGCTCGCTATCTACTTTCTATCCTCCAGACCCGTTGGTGCCCATCTGGTGACCAGTCGCCGCCATGAGTGGCCGTTGATTCCCGCATTCGCCTTGCATCGAGCTTCTTTTACGCATCTCCCCACGAGTCATAATACATCGCTCGTTTACCACCCAGCGATGTCCCGTTAGGCTGAACGTCATTCGCTCACTCTCTCTCTTTAGGGTTGTTCTCTTGGTCCACACTGTCGCTACCTTCGCGGCGATTGACGTGCGTCGACTGGGACTCAGCTCACCCATCTACTTCCTCTCCAAGTCATCAGTTCGCCGTTTGTCATTCGGCGTTCAATAGCTGCCATTCGGCGTCGTATGCTATTCTGACACCTTAAGCGTTAATACTCGTTTCTCGCTCGTTCGTCAGATCTCCATTCCGCACCACGTTTGTTTTCTAAGTCGTATGCCTCCTCATTCATTCACGCGTTTTGGCGCTAGGTAATGCAAAGCTCATTGCATCCAAACCCTAGCGATTCCAGGGAGGAGAGCCCGAAGCGACAGCGTACCGACCCAGAACAGGTTTTTGTGGATTCAAAAAAACCTATCACTACCGACCCAGCACAAGCACCAGCTGCTGCAGCAGCAGCAGCAGTCGCGTCAGAAGCCCTAATCGCCGGCTTCCCTCCTGTCCCACGCCAGCCGGCTCATTCTATCTTCGCTATCGAAGCGTCCGATATAAGCGATCTCGTTACAGAGAAACATCTGGGTTCGGGAATGTCAACCCCAACCAGGGGCGGTCCCCCCGCCCCTGGATCCCACCCCGCTGGGAATCACCATCACAATCAGCATCATGCTCAACAGCAGCACCAGCAGCACCAGCAGCAGTATAGAGGCAGTGGATCGCCGGGCGACAAGGACGAACTCTCGCGAAACTTTCCCGTCGACGACATTGTGCAGCACCCGTTACCCGGTTACGTGTCGCCGTCCGCGATCGCGTTCAGTCCCGACGACCAGATGATCTCGTACCTATTTAGCGAGGAGGGCACGCTGACGAGGAAACTATTCGCGTACGACTTAAAGACGTGCCAGCAGAAGCTGTTAGTAGCTCCACCTGGGGGCGGCGTGGACGAGGGGAATTTGTCCATGGAGGAGAAATTAAGGCGCGAGCGGCAGCGCGAGCGCGGCTTGGGAATCACGCGCTACGATTGGTCGAAGAACGTCGCGGTTCCGCGGATCATGATTCCGCTGCCAGATGGCGTGAGTTCATTGGCCTCCTTTCGCAGCGGGGACCGCTGCGTCGTTGTTTCTTCGTCCCATTAGGACACATTGAATGCTCAGCAATCATGTCATTCTGCGTGGTTCATAAATAGCGATATTCTCGATCTTTCCTTAATCCTCCCCCCAATCCCTTCTCCCCACCCCCCCTTTCCCCCCCCCCCCCCCCCCCCTTTCCCCCACCCTCCCTTCCGCTCTCCCGCTTCCCCCCCCCCCCCCCCCCCCTCTCCCCCCCCCCCTCCTCCGCAGGTGTACGTGCAGGACGGCATGGGCGCGGAGCTGCGCCTGCGCATCCCGGGCGGGGCGTCCCCCATCCTGGACCCGCAGGTCTCCCCGGACGGCTCCGCCATCGCTTACGTCAGCGATGACGAGATCTTCGTCGTGTCCACCACCAGCGGGGAACCCAGGCAGCTGACGTTCGGAGCTAAAGAGGCAAACAGGGTGAGGGTTGGGTGCTGGGGTGGGGGGCGGGTATGTAGTTGGCGCAGGGTCGAAAGGTTGGGTATCCCCGCTGGTTTCCCCAGACGGCTCCGCCATCGCGTCCGTCAGCTGTCTGGGTTCGCCCTTTCGCCAGAAGCATCGTTTCCCTGCCATTGTGACTGCCCTGCTCGCGCCCTTTGCTCCCTCCCGACCCTCCCGTCCCTCCCGTCCCTCCCGTCCCTCCCGTCCCTCCCGACCCTCCCGACCCTCCCGACCCTCCCGACCCTCCCGACCCTCCCGACCCTCCCGACCCTCCCGTCCCTCCCGTCCCTCCCGTCCCTCCCGTCCCTCCCGTCCCTCCCGTCCCTCCCGTCCCTCCCGTCCCTCCCGTCCCTCCCGTCCCTCCCGTCCCTCCCGTCGCATGAATGCCGCTCTCCTTTTGAGGCGCCTCAAAATTCTTCCTGTAATAAAACCGCGGATAGAGAGACGACTTTTGAGGCGCCTCAAAAGTCGTTGCATGAATGTCGCTCTCCTGGACCGATGTTCTCCCTTTCCCTGGCTCCCGCTCCTGTGCGCTCCTGTGCGCTCTTGTGCGCTCTTGTGCGCTCTTGTGCGCTCTTGTGCGCTCTTGTGCGCTCTTGTGCGCTCTTGTGCGCTCTTGTGCGCTCTTGTGCGCTCCTGTGCGCTCCTGTGCGCTCTTGTGCGCTCCTGTGCGCTCCTGTGCGCTCCTGTGCGCTCCTGTGCGCTCTTGTGCGCTCCTGTGCGCTCCTGTGCGCTCCTGTGCGCTCCTGTGCGCTCTTGTGCGCTCCTGTGCGCTCCTGTGCGCTCCTGTGCGCTCTTGTGCGCTCCTGTGCGCTCTTGTGCGCTCCTGTGCGCTCTTGTGCGCTCCTGTGCGCTCCTGTGCGCTCTTGTGCGCTCCTGTGCGCTCCTGTGCGCTCCTGTGCGCTCCTGTGCGCTCTTGTGCGGTCTTGTGCGGTCTTGTGCGCTCCTGTGCGCGATTGAAAGCATTTCAGTGCGCCCTCAATCACCCGTTGTTTCTCCCATTTCCCCCGTATCCGGCTCATCGATTTCATGTGTGTTTGTGTTTGCACGTGCGGCTGCGCACTCCCATGTGTGCGTGGTGCTCTGCTAATTGCAAATTGCAGGTCCATGGCTTGGCAGAATACATCGCACAGGTGAGCCGCCCCTCACGCACGCCCCCTCACGCCCCCTCACACCCCCTCACACCCCCTCACGCCCCTCACGTCCCCTCACGTCCCCTCACGCCCCCTCACCATATCACCATATCACCATATCACCATATCACCATATCACCATATCACCATATCACCATATCACCGTATCACCATATCACCATATCACCATATCACCATATTTTCACTTGAAGGTAGCTCTTTATGTCTAGTAGCCTACATTGTTCTTTTGAGTCGACTCAAAAGCCACTTCACTCAGTTCAGGCTTCGGCCACGTCATGCAATGAAAGACAGCTGCCGTGCCACCTCATTCCTCATTCTCTTCCAACGAGCGCACTGCTCTTCTCGTCCTCGCATGATGCTCGTCGCTTTCGTCTCATTTCCATCGTCATCCCAACAGCACTCCCCTCCCAACCCCCACTCTCCTGGTCACCACCACAGGAGGAGATGGAGCGACGCAGTGGCTTCTGGTGGTCGCACGACAGCTCTCACATCGCATTCACCCAGACGGACGCCTCTGCCGTGCCGCTCTTCCGCATCCCCCACAGCACGCGCCCGCCCGTGGGGGCGGACTCAGAGGAGGAACACGCGTACCCCTTCGCAGGTATGGGGTGCTACAAGCACGTATTGGCGTGCCCGCACGTGGGCGAGGACTCGGAGGAGGAGCATGCGTATCCGTTTTCTGGTAGGGTACGGTTGGACCTGGGCCAGAGAATTGAGGTTCTAGCACCACCAACGGCCAAACCTGTGAACCCCTTTTCGCATCCCCCACTGCACTGCTCGCAGAGGAATAGCACCATTTTCCTTCGCAGGTACGGGCGGGGTGTCAGGTATGGGGTGTCAGGTATGGGGTGTCAGGTATGGGGTGTCAGGTATGGGATGTCAGGTATGGGGTGTCAGGTATGGGTTGTCAGGTATGGGGTGTCAGGTATGGGGTGTCAGCTATGGGTTGTCAGGTATGGGTTGTCAGGTATGGGGTGTCAGGTAAGGGGTGTCAGGTATGGGGTGTCAGGTATGGGGTGTCAGGTATGGGTTGTCAGGTATGGGGTGTCAGGTATGGGGTGTCAGGTATGGGGTGTCAGGTATGGGTTGTCAGGTATGGGGTGTCAGGTATGGGGTGTCAGGTATGGGTTGTCAGGTATGGGTTGTCAGGTATGGGTTGTCAGGTATGGGGTGTCAGGTATGGGTTGTCAGGTATGGGATGTCAGGTATGGGGTGTCAGGTATGGGTTGTCAGGTATGGGGTGTCAGGTATGGGGTGTCAGGTATGGGTTGTCAGGTATGGGGTGTCAGGTATGGGGTGTCAGGTATGGGGTGTCAGGTATGGGTTGTCAGGTATGGGGTGTCAGGTATGGGGTGTCAGGTATGGGGTGTCAGGTATGGGTTGTCAGGTATGGGGTGTCAGGTATGGGGTGTCAGGTATGGGTTGTCAGGTATGGGTTGTCAGGTATGGGTTGTCAGGTATGGGTGTCAGGTATGGGTGTCAGGGCAGGGACTGGATAGTCAACCAGGTGAAGAAACAGGGATAGTCCATCTTCTTCACATCAGCACGCTTCACATCAGCACGCTTCACATCAGCACGCTTCACATCAGCACGCTTCACATCACATCAGCGCGCTTCACATCAGCACGCTTCACATCAGCATCCTTCGTTTTGCACTTGCCGAACGTCCTCGTCCCCTTCTCTCACCCCTTTCCAGGCCAGGCGAATGTGAGCGTGAGGCTCGGGGTCGTTCCCGTGGCTGGCGGCGAGGTTCGGTGGATGGACCTTCATTGCGGCTTGGCAGGGAGCTTCCCTGACAAGAAGAAGCAAAGCGGCAGCGACGGTGATGATGGGAGAGGGGCGAAGGCAAGGGGTGGTGGTATGCCGGCAGCAGAGGGCGAGACTGGGGCAGGTGATAGCAGAAAGGAGGTCCCTACGGCCACACGGGATGCTGGTGCTGGTGCTGGTGCTGGGCTGGGCGGGACCGATGTGGACGACACAGGTACAGTGGAGCAGCAGCAGCAGCTGCAGCAGCGGACTGGGGTCGAAAGCAGTGACAGAACCATGCTTGTTGATGGCGCTACTAATGGCACGACTGCCACTGCTGCCGTTACTGCCGCTGCTGATACAGCTACTCATAATGCTCCTGCTGTTGAGGACGACGACGACGAGGAGTACTTAGCGCGGGTCTCCTGGCTCCCAGACGGCCGCCTCTCCGCCCAAGTGCAGAACCGCCGCCAGACGCGCCTGAAGCTGCTGCGCTTTGACCCCGCCACGGGCCACCGGGAGCTTGTGCTCACCGAGTCGAACCCCCTCTGGGTGAACCTGCACGACTGCTTCACTCCCTTAGTCAAATCCGGGGGGGAGCTGCGCGGGGGGTTCGTGTGGGCGAGTGAGCGAACGGGGTTCCGGCACTTGTATTTGTATGCGGGGTCGGGCCGGTGCGTGGGGGCGGTGACGGCTGGGGAGTGGATGGTGGAGCAGGTCGCGGGGCTGGACGAGTCGGCAGGGTTGATCTACTTCACTGGGACCTTGGATAGTGCTCTGGAGAGTCATTTATATGTGACGAGGCTGTTTGGGGGCGTGGAGGGGGGTGGGATTCCTACTGCTGTGAGGTCTGCGTTGACCCCAGACCAGCAGCAGCAGCAGCAGCAAGTGGTGCCAATGGCTGTAGACCCAGGTTCCTTGTCTTTACCAGCCTCGACTGTGGGAATGCACCCCACAACCACATCATCCCCATCCGCAGCAGCAGCAGCAGCAGGAGCAGCAGCAGGAGCAGCATCACCAGTTGCCGGCTCCCTCTCGTCACCACCACCACCACCAGCACCCACAGCAGCATCCCTCCAACAACCCACCACCCTCTCCTCCTCCTCTCTGCCGCCCGCCCGCCCCGTGCGCCTGACGCAGGGCCCCGGGCGGCACCTGGTGGTGGTGGACCACAGCCTGCAGCGCTTCGTTGACCTCGTTGACTCGCTGGACTCGCCCCCCGCCGTGCGCCTCTGCTGCCTCTCCTCTGGGCGGGTTCTGGCGCCGATTTTTCAGCAGCAGTCGCCCAACCCCAGGGTGCAGAGGTTGCAGCTGAGGGCGCCAGAGCTGGTGGAGGTGACAGCTGGTGATGGCACGGTCTTGCATGGGGCTATCTACCGGTGAGTGCTGGTTTCCTGCCTTGGGGTATGGGATGCAGAGGTTGCAGCTGAGGGCGCCAGAGCTGGTGGAGGCAACTGCTGGGGATGGGACGCTCTTGCACGGGGCTGTCTACCGGTTAGTGCTGCCTCTGTCTGTTCCGGTGAGGGTTGGCCAGTGCGGCTGTGTTGTCTGGCGCGCAGTATTGGTGAGTGTGCTCGCATTGATATTTCAGCAGCATTCGCCCGCCCAGCAGTCGCGATACGCGTATATTCCAAGTTAGGTGCAAAGGTTGCAGCTGCGGGCACCAGAGTTGAGTGACGTCCTGTGCTGCATGGGACTGTCTACCGGTGAGTGCTAGATTTAGTTTTGAGGCGCCTCAAAATGTGACGTCCTGTGCTGCATGGGACTGTCTACCGGTGAGTGCTAGATTTAGTTTTGAGGCGCCTCAAAATGTGACGTCTTGTGCTGCATGGGACTGTCTACCGGTGAGTGCTAGATTTAGTTTTGAGGCGCCTCAAAATGTGACGTCCTGTGCTGCATGGGACTGTCTACCGGTGAGTGCTAGATTTAGTTTTGAGGCGCCTCAAAATGTGACGTCCTGTGCTGCATGGGACTGTACCGGTGAGTGCTAGATTTGTGGCAGTAGGTGTAGGTGTGTGTGGTGTGGTGGGCCTGGGAAGGTTCGTTCACCTTGTTGACCTTGTGACCTGCTTGACCTGCTTGACTCGCCGCCCGCCTGTAATTCCAAACTTTTCTCCACCCACTTTCTCCTCCCCCCCCCCCCCCCCCTCCCCTGCTCCCCAGTCCTCACCCACCCACACAACCCTTCCCCCCCTTCTCCCCCCCCAACCCCCCCGCCCCCCCCATTCTCCCCTCATTTCCTCCCCAGCCCCCACCCGGGTATCTTTGGCCCGCCTCCCTACCGCACGCTTGTCAGCATTTACAGACGGCCGCACGTGCAGACAGTGCGTAACACATATTCCCTCCCACCCTCCCCTGCTTCCCTTCCAGCCCCGACCCAGCTATCTTCGGGCCGCCCCCCTACCGCACTGTTGTCAGCGTGTATGGAGGGCCGCACGTGCAGACGGTGTGCCAGTCGTGGCTGTCCACAGTGGACATGCGAGCGCAGTTTCTGCGCGCCAGGGGGCTGCTTGTGTGGAAGGTGAGGGGGGGGCTGCTTGTGTGGAAGGTGAGAATGAGTGCTGGGCCAGCATCGGTTTGATTGGAGGAGGGGACCTATGAGCTGGTAGGCACGTGCAGACGGTGTGCCAGTCGTGGCTATCTACTGTCGACATGCGAGCACAGTTCCTGCGTGCGAGAGGGCTCCTTGTGTGGAAGGTGAGAATGAGTGCTAGGCCAGGATGATTTCAAGTGGAGGAGGGGGCTACGGGCTGGTAGGCAGATAGACACACAGAAAGGCAGGCATACACGCAGGCAGACACACAGTTATCCAGTTGTGGCTGTCGACAGTAAACATGGGGGTTTCGGGTTTGGTGTGGAAGGTGAGGGTGATTGTGCTTTGATCCGAGTTTGCCAGAGTGCAGCGGTTCTACTTCAGCGTGGAATGGCCTCTGTGCCGCGTATGGTGTGTCGAAGCCACAACCATTTCATACTTCCACTCCGCTCCCTTTTTGCCCATCGCATCACGGCCCACCATCTATCCAACCCCTCCCCGCTGTCCCAGCTTGACAACCGGGGCAGCAGTCGCCGCGGGCTAGCCTTTGAAGGAGCCATCAAGTGCAGCATGGGCGGCATTGACGCTGACGATCAAGCGGCCGGCGTCCGTTGGCTTATCCAGCAGGGCCTGGCTGACCCAAACCGGATCGGAATCTACGGGTGGAGCTACGGGGGGTACCTCTCAGCCATGTGCCTGGCTCGGTACCCGAGCCTGTTCCGCTGCGCCATTTCCGGAGCTCCGGTTACCGCGTGGGATGGTTACGACACGCATTACACAGAGCGTTACATGGGCCTGCCTTCAGAGCAGCCCACTGCATACGACCGGAGCTCTGTCATGCGGCATGTGGGTGGGATCCGGGGGAGGCTGCTACTGGTGCATGGGATGATTGATGAAAATGTTCATTTCAGGCACACGGTTCGGCTGGTGCAGGCGCTGACTACGGCGGCTAAGCAGTACGAGCTGCTGCTTTTCCCGGAGGAAAGGCACATGCCGAGGGGCCTTCGCGACCGCACTTATATGGAGGAGCGGATCTACGAGTTTTTGAATAGAAGTCTCTTGTGAGCAGTTGTGGCAGGGTGGAGGCTGTTGTAGGTGGCAAACTAGGGAGTGGCGTGCCTTCAAATGTTAGAAATAATTTCACTTGAGCTTGATTGTGTCCGCTTCTTGATACACATAGAAAGATTGGTGCTGGAGAAGACCCCTTAAGAGCACAAAGGCCATCTGAGGAGCAAGTTTGACATACAGTATATAGGTTGTGTGAGACATGTGATTCTTGAATGTTGTTATGGAAATCAGGTGTAGCGACTTGTTATGTGGAGGTGTGCAATACTGATCCGGTCTGGGGCGAAACTCGTGTGATCTCAGCATCTGCAGGAAGAATCATTTCGAATCCGACTACACGCGTCTCCTGAGGAGACTCTCCTCAGCAGACATCACATGCTCTAATCAAGTTGTGCCAAATAAGCATTGCGCCGTCCACCCTAGCCTTGCATGGCTGGCGGATAAGGAGTCAACTTGAGGTTCCCCCTTGACCGAAGCCTCAAGCATGTCCACCACCCATCCTTCTACCAATCGGTGGAACTCCTCGTGCTCTGAAGCGCGAGATACACTTCATCTCATTTATTGTTCCACCCTGAACAGTCTAAATGTCAATCCCGCGTAAAGTTCGTATTCTACTAACGCAAGCTCCAAGGATGTAGGAAATTGCTATTAGATGATATCGCTGTGAGACCCTGGCAAAATTGTTTATAATGTTTCTGCGGTTTGAAGAGTGTTGTCTTTTACGTATTATAGAGGGGCGGGGAGCCTGTCTTTTGTGCCGACCATGTTCAGATAAGCACGTCGCTCGGTATACGTAATGTGTCGCACAACAAAGTTTCAAAGTTTACACACTCTAAGGCATCGAAACAAGAGTAACAACTGAAACTGAACAGTCCGTAGGACGCGTCTGTATCGGAAAGGCGCATGATCGAGTGTTTGACGAAGTACTTCTAGATGGGATTTTTTGGGGCCATTGCAATGGTAGCTAGAGTATAGTGGAGATTGAAATTTGGCAGTTGAATACGCCCACCGTGTAGCTTACCACTTCCGTATGGTGACGGATTACGTCACGATACGATATCAGATTCATAATCGTAATTGGCGTGTTTTGTTTCGTCATTGTGTTGCGCAAGGCCATGTCATGGATTTAAACGTGGGCTTTGGTTGGCGCTATAACCATATGTGACCACTGTGGGTCGTTAACCTCTCCGCTTGGACCATTTGTTTTTAGGAAAAAAAAGAGAGCAAAATGTCATGTAATAAATATTATCATGCTTGTTGGTGACTTATTGTCACTTTTCATGTTTTCTTGCGTATGTGGGGTTTGCCCCTAAGGAATAATTTGCGCATGAGAAATACTTGTAGTAGTCGTGCTTGCTCTAGCAGAATACGGCTTGTACCAAGTTCTCAATATGACTCGCGTTGATACTGAACCTGATTGGTTGTAGTTTGAACGATAGTGAACAACCAAGTCAATTTTTGATATTTTTGAGTTTCAGAGCTGGGACGTCGCCCGGAGAACTTATCTAGTGCATGAGAGAGACTTTGTAACCAAGTGTCAGTGCTTACTGTGGGTTTTCCCCTTCAAGGTCCCGTTTGCCCGAGTTTCCCCGTTTCCTGCTTACAGGCTCGAGCTGCGTGAAAACAAATAAACAATTTAATAGAAAATAGGTGTATCGTCAAGAGGCGATGTTGTTAATGGTTTCTGGGCAGAATTGAGATATTTTCAAAGCAATTCGGGGAAATTTAGTTCATTCAAAAGTTCCGATGTTTCAAGCTGGATGCATGCACAAGCTTCTCGAACATTCGGTGATATTCTAGAAAGAGGGGCAGGAGTACTGCTGCCAGCTGGGCATCAAACCAGAAAGGTCCTCCGATATTTTTTCGGACACCTCAGCCAGTACCTTTTTGTACCTTGCTTGCTGTGCTGGCGTCTACTTTTTCCTGCGTCATTGGCTGGTGTGTCGTTGAGCGGGGGGCAGGGCAGGCCGGGGGCAACAAGGAAACTTTCTTTGCTAGAATGCATCTTCGCGCGCAAAATGGTCGACAACGCAGGCATGGTCCATCCCAGGAGTACTGTAGAGTTTGAGGGGGATAAATATCGCAATGACTGGGTTTTCGCAGGAGGGATCGTCGTGCTGTACGTGTTGGCTGGAATGGGGCGATTCCGTTCGGAGTAGGGGTGGGGTAGGGTGCCCTCGTGAGCGGGAAATTGTTTCGGAGGGGAAGTGTGCTCTGACAAGGCTGTGGTGTCGATGTGTGGCACCTTGTACAGACACGATGAGCCAAAACAATTTCAGGGGTATGCAGGCCGCCAGTATTGTCGCCCAGGCTGGGAGTGATTGAGAAAGTATGGGGGAAAGCGGTTGGGAGGTGGTGGGATTGGTGTGTGCTGTACTTGTGGCACTTAGGATTAAAATGGGGGTCACGTCAGCACGGAAATGGGTTTGTTCGCAGGCACGAAATCCGAAGAAATTCGTCACCGGTGTACTCGCCTTGCCTTGGCCCCTCCCAACCTGTCACCCCAAGGGTCATGCGGACACGAGTTTTGGGGTCCCAGAAGGACACTCTTGGTGGCCCTCCATTCAAAATCAACCAATCCCGCACCCGAACCCCCGGATTTCGTCGTCACGTCCTCACCTCATCCCGTACCTGGTTGCCTGCTACGGTTTGCACCATCAGCGGCTCGGAAAGCAGAGGTGGAAAAATATCAACCAAAGCTTTTCCGCCAAACCTTGCTGCCTCGTCGCGCGGACGCGCAAACTCTTAAAAAAGGCCGGCTGCCCTTTTCCTGTCATTGCTGCCCTTCGCACGCAAACAGTGACAGCACGCCACCGGCGTGTTCCCCATTCGTCGCTGCCTGCCAAGGGCCTGCCCCAATATTGGATCAGACTTTTTGGACAAACCCACGCGGAAATTGTTTTTCCAGCGGAAGTGAGGTGTAGCATTTTCAGAGGAAGGAGGCGCGAGTTATTCTTTCCGCCCCGCGCGCACAGAATTTCTGGCCCCTATTCGTATCCCCATCCGGACCGCCATGATTGCATTTCATCTCCGCTTCATTAACATGAACGGGCGATGATAAAGCCTGGCAGAATTCAAGGAAACCCTCCCCGCGTGCTTCGAGCGCTGTCTGCTAAGCCTGCTCAACCAGAGCACCGTGTCCTAAACCGACGCGAGCAGCGATCAGGCGCGCTCGCTCCCCCCAATATTGCCTTCCCCGTGCCGCAAACAGATTTGCTATTCCTTCCTTCTAGCCGCAAACAGCTGAGCGCGACTGCAACCCACTCACGGAAGGAACAGGAGTGTTCTGCTATCCAAAAGCCTGTCCTTTCACACAAACATTCGCCTTTTGACCCGTCTCTTATCTCGCCTTCGCCCCCTAAACTCGCCTTACGCCCTCTAGTTGTAGCGTCATCATGTGTCAGCCCGTCGCCCCATTCGCGGCGGAGCTTCTCCTCCGCCTAGACGGGCCCGCCGCAGCCGCCGCCGCCACCAGCTTCGCAGAGCGCCCCACTCGCTATCCCCCCACTGCCATGGTGCTTGCGGGTCCCGCAAATCACGGCGCTTCTTCCGGTCGGAGTCCCACAGAGTCGACGAATGAGGCGCTGAGTCAGCGCGAGGCCACCGCCGCTTCCGAGTCCATGGCGACTCCGAGCCGTGCGTCAAGTTCAAAGGCGCCTCGCAACGCTCCCGCGACTCCGAGCTCGAAGCGTGCGCGTCTCGAGGCGCCGCAAGACTCTCCCGTCTCCCGCGGCGCTTCCGGCGTCTCAGAAAGCGGTGCGGAGCCGCCGCGAAGTCCGCTGCCGCCGACTAACTTCGGGCCTGGCACCGCGCCGGCGCATTCCACGGCTGCGCACCCCGTGGGTGCGCACCAGACGACGGCGAACCATCGAATGCGGCCCATCACGCTGCAGGAGCTCACGGAGAGCTTCCACCTGCCCATCAGCGAAGCGGCGCGCAAGGTACACGGTTTCTGTGGCTGTGGCTGTGGCTGTGGTTTCACGTGACTTAGCAGTACTAGAGCACTTGAATGTACAGTGTTTCGCGCTATGCATTCTGTTGAGTCGCGACCTCCGGTGGCCGCATCATTCCTCGACTCGCAGCCGTCGCTTTCTCTTCGCCCTTTTGCCCCCTCTCGCCGTCCTCCCGTCCTCATCCCCGCCTCCCCCCCTCTTCCCCCCTCTTTCCCTCTGTGCAGCTGGGCGTGTGCGTAACGGTGCTGAAGCAGCAGTGCCGCGAGCACGGGGTCGTGCGATGGCCCTTCCGCAAGGTACGGCGCGGCCGCCGGCCCGGGCCGTCTGTTAGGAGTCAGTCTCTTAAAGAAGTTCTTGCATCGAAGCACCAACGACGGTTCCAGACTTCTGCGCAACCTCTACGATTTTTAGATGGATTTTCTACCAACTATCCGCATCTCCTCGTCAGATCTCCGCCGAAATGTGCTCTAACGTCTTCTCCTTACTCCGTTCCTCCATCTTCTATCCCTCCTCTCCCCCCCCCCCCCCCCACCGCCTCCCCTTCCTCTCCCCTTCTCCTCCGCCAGATCCGCAAGCTGGACCACATGCTCTGCGCGCTCGAGGGCGCGGTCAACCGCCCGCCCGCGGCTAGCAAGCCGGAGCTGACGGCGCAGCAGGCGCACACGGCGCACGCGCGGAAGCGCAAGATCGGCGCGGTGAAGGAAACCCTGTCGGGCCTCCTAACGGACCCCAACTCCTCGGCGCACATGCGGCTCGGGAAGATCAAGTACAAGCGCTTCCGCCGCTTCATCGCGGACGACGACCGCAGCACGCGCCCGCGGCCCCTGCAGACGTCCGCTCGCGACGCTGACGTCAGCCGTCCCAATGCTGACGCTCCGAGCCTCCGTGATGATGCTGACGCTGACGTTGGCGGCTCCCCCGCTGAAACCGGCTGTTCCCCCGCCGATGCGGGCTGTTCCCGCGCTGATGCGCCCCAGCGGCCGGATTTTGACATGAACGAGCCGCCGTGCAGCGAGGCGGACGGGGATTCGAGCGCTGGAAACGACGTGGCTTGTGACGTGGCTTGTGACGCGGACAACATTGCTCCCAAGGCTCGGTGTCAGGACGACGTTGCTCGTGCGGACGGCATGGCTCCCGACTCCTGCTTCACCACGCCGAGCGCCACGCCCACGGCCACGCCACTCTCGACGCCGCTCATGCCACCCCTAAACCCCGTGCCTCCGCTGTCCCTCGAGCCCTGCGCCATGAGCCCGCGCGCCCGTGTGCTCCCTCCCTCCATGCTCTCTCCTCTACCCTCCGCACTCTCCCCTCTGCCCTCCGTGCTCTCTCCTCTACCCTCCACACTCTCCCCTCTGCCCTCCGTGCTCTCCCCCGTAACGCTCGCATGTGCCCACCCATTCACCTCCCCCCTGCACCTGCCATCTCTCCCCGCCCTTCCGCTCGCCTCGCCGCTGTGCCTGGATGACAGCGATGAGAAGCCTGTGCTCACAGCAGTGCAACCCCTGCTCACAGCATCCCTGCCCCTATTCTCAACCCAACCCGTGTTCACATCTCAACCCCTGCTCTCTCCGCAAACCCTGCTCATTTCCCAACCCCTCCTATCAGCCCAACCCCTGCTCTCAGCCCAATCCCTGGTCTCACGCCAACACCTGTTTGCGCCCCAACCCCTGCTGACTTCCCAAGCCACATACTCACTCGACCTCAGCTCCACCCGCAACAGCGGTACCACGTGCAGCAGCAGCAGCGACAACTCAAACAGCACCACCACCACCAACAGCAGCAGCAGCAGGGGTGCTATCCAGCTCAACAGCCCAGCCACTCTGGCATTTTCCTTCTGCGGCGATCCCATCCTTCCCGCCTTGGCACCCGCGCCTGCTCCGAATTCACTGGCTGTGGGGTTTCCTTCCAAGTTCGTGCTTTCAGGTGCGGCCCAGCAAATGTTAATGCAGAAACACCATTGCTACAATGCGTTTGGGTGATGATGTTTGATGCATAAGGAAATGATTTTTGTGTGCATACAAAGCACATTCCTTTTGCTTGTATTCTACTGTACCAGAAATCAAACGCGTCTGTGGATTGTTGCCACACCTGCCAGCAAGTGTGAGCAGCGTTACAGTGTCCACTGTTCCTTGCTTCCATTCATCACCGAATTTGAAATGCACCTGTAATCAACTTGGAGGCTGTTTGTGAGGCGAAGCACCATACCATACCATCCCATATCAGTACTGTTGGAAATATCTCAAGGACTTGAGCGTTTCTGAAGTGTAGCACCGCACTCGAGGAAGATCGTAACGAGTACGCGAGTCAACAGAGGTTACACGAAGGGAAAGGACAAAGAACACGAAAGGACTCGAAGGGTCGCAACCGGAGGTTGCGACTGACCGTTACAACAGCGCGGATGGTAACCGAAGCGACAATCGAGTCGCTGTGCGACTCGATAACCGCTCCTGCAACTGTATTCTACAACTGCTTTACTTTCCTATTTTCTATATATTGCCGTATGCTTGTTTTCTTAATCAATCACTTGTTCTCATATACCAGTACAAGGGTTCAACTACTCAACTTCCGCTGCACTACTCAAGTCTCATTCTACAACTGGGACTTCGTCTCTGGAAAGATCCTAAGGGTTTTTTTTTGCCCAACAAGTACTTTCATCAAAACCTAAAGTGGGGTTTCCTATAATTGGGGCAACCATGCCAGGTAAATGTACCTTACCACCCGCCCACAGCTCTACAGCCTTGCATGTTCTGGCACCTAATATTCAGTTGTACCACATTGTCACATATAACGTTCATGAATCATGCTTCATCTCGTGAGCTAGATCTTCATCGCGCTACACACGAATGGCATTCCACTTGCACGTTCATCCCTCTGCCCCTCACATGCCGATAGTGCGCACAAACACCTGCCGTATCACATGCCAAGCATGAGCTTGGTTGGTGTCCATAGCATAGTGTCAACTTATACATATGTAAGTATGTAGAAGTTATAGGCTAGATAGGTGTTTGTTCTTAGAGAGTACAACTCCAACCCTATACCTTGCTTGTTCTCTCTTGTTTATTCTCATTCTAGTATTCAGACATGGTATCATGCGTACGTTAGGTCCCCCCCACCCGCTTCTGCCCCGCGCCCTACCACACCTCAGGCCCCACGCGCCCTGCCAGCCCCTTGTGCGCCTCGACTCCTCGCGCGCCCTCCTCGGCCTTCCTTTCGGTTCAGTTCCGGAGAGTCCTGCCGCGCCACTGAGTCCCTGTGCTGCTGTGCCCCGGTGTCCCTGTGCCGCTGTGTCCCCGTGTCCCGGTGCCACTGTAGTTGAGCGATGGCGGACGCCATGCTCCGTCTGGACGCGGAGGGGCACGCGATCGACTTTGCAGCCAGGCTTGTCGATCTCCCCTGGCACCTGACAGGTCAGCGCCAGGATGGGCACTCCCTGGCTATGCATGTTGATGGCTTGCTTTCTCGCCCCTCCGCCCCTGATCCCCTCCTTGCTGACCCCACCACTGCTGAGAGTGAGGCCTTTGCTGCTGCTGCGCTCGCTCGCGCTGTCTGGGATTCTCGCGATGCTGTAGCGCAGCTTGCCATTACTCATGCGCTTCCCTTGTCTGAGCGTCCGCATTTCACTACTGTCGCGAACGCAAAGGATTTCCTACATGTTGTAGCTGACCGCTACTCCACGCCTGCCTCCGCCTCAGTTGGACGCTTGATCATCCCCATGCCCTTCCCTGATCTCTCTGCTTTCCCCACTGTTGCTGATCTCGCCACTCACCTCCGTGCACTAGAGACAAGCTATCGCACTGCTAGCACTCCTGCCCAGCTCACTGCCTTCCCCCTACCGTTCTGCGCTACCCTGTACCTTATTGCTATGTGCCTGCCTGATCGCTTAGCCACTGTTCGCGACCACTTCCTTAGCCAGCACTCTGCTGACCTCACCCTGACCGCTTTTGTCGCTTCCCTTGAGATAGAGACTCGCCAACGCACTATCGCTCAGTCGAGCAGTGTTGCGGCAATCCCTATCTTTCAAGGCTGTGCTCCCTCCCAGTACACGTACGCTGACGTTTACGCCGCGGTCGCTACTGCTGCTCGTGCCGCTGAGACAGCAGCGGCGGCCTTCCCGAAGGAGCAGCGACAGTGTCGAGGCCGTCGCGGCCCCCAGGGAGGGCGTGATGATGGTGGCGGCGACAGTGGTTCTGACGAGAAGGCTGCGGCAGGCATCCAGGAGCAGTAGCAGCCGCAGCCGCAGCAGCAGCTGCTGCCGTGGGCCCGCCTCCCGCCAGGGTGGTCGAGACGGCGGTCCTCACAGCTCGGCGTCTACCGGCAGCTTCGGTGCTGTGGGCTGCCAGTACCAGCTCCACACTGGTCCCCTTTGTGGCACTGTGTGCCGCCGTCCGCATCCGACTGCCCGCTGCTTCCACTGCCTCGACGACCTATTTCGTCGCCGCTTCGGCCCAGCCCCGGACCTCCCTGACTGGCCTGGTCTCCTTTGCCACGGTGTGCCTGTTTTTGAGCTAGACATGGATCAGCTTAGTTCTGCCTTGCATTCTCTGTATGCTGACGCTTCTAGTGTGTCAGGATCTTATTACCCTGTGTTCTCTTAATTAGGCGTAGCACCTGTGTGTAGTACAGACTCCCCTGCTGCGTCAGGCGTAGGAACGTTTGCTTTGTCTAGCCTAGGCTCCACACTCGCTCCTCCTTCCTCTGCGGCTACTGCTTCGCTGTCCTTCACACTTGACTCCGGCGCGTCTGCCTGCTTCTTCCGCGACCACGCCGTGCTTACGCCGCTTGCCGCACCTGCCGCTGTCGCCCTTGCTGACCCCTCGTCTGGTCCTGTTGTCGCTCGCAGCTACACTACCTTCCCCTGTCCAGCGGTCCCTTCGGGCTCCCTTACAGGCCTCCACATCCCCTCGTTCTCCCGGAACTTAGTTGGTGTCGGCTGTCTTCAGGACCTCGGCGTCACCACTATGTTCCTGGGTCACGAGTGGTATGCCGTCTGTACCGAGGCTGCCTCAAGTTCCCCCCTTGCGACGTTCCCCCGGGACCCGGTGTATGGCCTCTTTACGCTGGACACTGCTTCCCCTCGGGGTGACCGTCCCTCCAAGGTCTTGCGTCTACCCAGGTCGCCACTGCGTGCTCGTATCGGTCGCTCACTCACCTCTTGCTTCTAGGGCACCACCGCCTAGGTCACCCCGCACTCTCGTGTCTGCGTCACATGTCCCAGCACGGTCTCGTCCTAGGTCTCCCTGCGTTGCTTCCTGCCCGCCCGCCCTCGCCTGCGCCGCCATGCATGCCCTGCGTCGAGGGCTGGCTCTGCTGTGCTCCTCACTCCTCCTTGCTTTGTCCTGCAACCGCACCCCTTCAGACACTGCACCTGGACGTCCGAGGCCCAGCCCCCATCCCCGGACCACGTCGCGAGCGCTACAATCTAGTGCTCGTGGACGACTACACGCACTACACCACCGTGTTTCCTTTGGAGCGAAAGGCCAACGTGCCTGACGTTCTCATCCCGTGGGTCATGGCTGCCTGCCTTCACCGCGGTCTCCTTGTGTTGTATCTCCACTCCGACCGTGGCGGCGAGTTCGCCTCTGGTCGGCTTGGACAGTTTTGTCATGCGGAGGGCATCACCCGGTCGTACTCCCTACCGGACTCCCCGCAACAGAATGGGGTCGCTGAGCGACGCATGGGCTTGGTCATGGCGGTGGGTCGTACCTTCATGATCCATGCCGGTGCACCCCATTTTCTGTGGCCGTTCGCCGTTCGCTACGCTGCTCACCAGCTTAACCTTTGGCCGCGCTCCCAGCGGCCGCAGGTTTCGCCGACCCTTTTTTGGACCGGGTTCCCTGGTGACGCGTCCGCGTTCCACGTCTGGGGCTGCGTCGCTCACGTTCGTGCCTCTGGCACGGACAAGCTCACTGCTCGCACTATCCCCTATGTCTTCCTCGGTTTCCCCCTGGACTCCATTGACTGGCACTGTTACCACCCGACGTCTCACCGCTTCTTTCACTCCCGTTGTTACAGGATCGAATGTGTCGAGGAAAAGTTGCACTATTGATTGATACAAGGCACTTTTATACTTCCGAAGTACATCACGTAACCATGTTTATCCTATCAAAGGGGAATAGACCCTTCTAGAAATAGAATCACCCTACGTATAACCACACGAGGCTATTGGCTTTAAAGGATTATGATAAGATTACGCTAGATATAGCGTGCCAGTACATTCCGAGCCTGGTCGGTGATATAATTATAATAATAGGATAACCCAAAGGATAATGAGAAGGGAGGAATAGGAAATCAAAGGGGATGAGATAAAGATAAAAGGAATTAGGATAATTAGAAGAATGAGTTAGAGGAAAAAGATGGAAATGAGAAAGAAGTGTAACGGGGTCGTACTCTCACACTCCCCCCCATCAATGCTGGGTGGTAGAAGTAACACCCTGCTTGACAAGGTAGTCGCAAAGATGACGACGAGCGGTACCTATCTTGGATTTAGGAAACCAACTATCCTCAGAAGGATCATAATCCTTCCAACAAATGAGAAGCTCCACGGTGCCATTCCGACGACGGTGATGTGCGAGCACGGACTCGACCTCGTACTCGAGTTCTGCTTGGACGAGGATGGACGGCGGCGGCAGGGAATGGCGTCCGGTGAAGACCGTGTTAGGATCTCGACATGGCTTCAGAAGTTGGACATAGAAGGCGTTGTGAATCTTCCAGGTAGCTGGCAGGCGTAAGCGGAAGGTAACAGGAGTGACCTGTGCTTCAACGAGAAAGGGCCCGAAGAAGCGAGGTCGCAGTTTGGATGGGAGGTGACTGATGTTGATATTGCGGGTGTCGAGTAGAACTTGGTCTCCCACGGTTATGGTGTGGTCAGTACGGTGGCGATCGGCCTGGCGCTTCTGTTGCTGCTGAATGTCGAGGAGGCGCTTATGGGTCCGATCCCAAAGCTGATGCATGATCGTGACGAAGTCCTGTGCGGGTTGGACTGTAGCTGATGCTGTCGGTTTTTGTGGCGTGAGAGGGGTGGCGTCCGTAGCAGAGTAAGAACGGTATCTGTCCAGTAGCGGCGTGAGTGGCGTTGTT